ACATCACTAATGTGAAAATATGTTTAATAGGAATATAAATATATAGCCTATATCAGATCGTGCGCTGTCTTGGGGAGAGTGGTGGGGAGGAAGCGGGAGAAAAATTTTAAACTCAGAAGCATATGGAAGTAACTATTGATAAATCAAAATAAATGAATAAAAAATTAAAAAATAATAATATATACAAAGTAACTACAAAGCATTTAGGAGGGAGGCACCAACACCTGGATGATCAGGAAAGGCATTGGGTAGAAGGGAGCATGTGTAATGAGTTTTGGGGGCAGCTAGGTGGTGCTGTGGATAAAGTTCCAGCCTTGGAGTCAGGAGGACCTGAGTTCAAATGCAGCCTCAGACACTTGACACTTACCAGCTGTATGACCCTGGGCAAGTCACTTAACCCTGACTGCCTCACTTAAAAAAAAAAGAGTAATGAACTTTGAGGGAAAGTTGGGCTTTTAAAAGGTGAAGAGAAAGGGTGTTTCAGGTATGGGGGACAGCTAGTGCAGAGTCATAGTGATGGGAGATGGAGTACTGTGTGTGAGGAATAAAAAGAAAGCCAGTTTGGCTGGACCAGGAGAACCTGAAGGTGACTCTGCTCCCCTGTGCATTCAGAGGAGAGGTCTCCTGAGCTACACGTAAAGAAGAGGACTCCATGTCACCCTCTAGAAGTGAATGGATGAATCACTTTATATTGGTAAATGCCTGTGCTAAGCATGGGGGTACAAACAGAAAACAGGACTGCCTCTGCTCACGTATGGAAAGTTTCAGCTGAAAGCCAGATGGAAAGGTCCCATGGTCCCTAGTATACAGAGGGAAAGCAGATGGTTGTGGTTGTTCAGTTGTTTTTCAGTACTGTCTGAAACTTCATGATCTCATTTGGGGTTTTCTTGGTAAAGATACTAGAGTAGCTTGCCATTTCCTTCTCTGGCTCATTTGACAGATGGGGAAACTGAGGCAACCAGTGTTAAGTGACTTACCCAGGGTCACACAGCTAGGAAGTGTCTGAGGCCAGATTTGAACTCAGAAAGATGAGTCTTTGTGACTCTAGGCCCAGCACTCTATCCACGGAGCCACTTAGCCGCCCCTAAAACAGATGGTAATGCCTCTTATTTAATATCATTTCCACTGACTGAATCATATTAGTTTCTGATGTTAAATCATTTGATGGGATTTTTGTGGTAAGAACTTTGTTTTCTGGGTCTTCTTCACAGGAGCTGTTTCTAGGGATAATGGCTGTGGATACTGGGCTGGAAGCATTACTCTTCCAAAGGCTCTTGGGTTCAGGGTCCTGGCCTGTCTCCAGAAGGGCCTGAGGGGTGGTGATGGTCAAGGTGGTGGTGGTGGTGGTGATTTAACTTGCCTGGCACATGCTGCCTCCTCTCTCTCCCCCAGTCACCCTGCTTGCTAACCCTTATGTGTGGCAGTTGGTGGAATGGCTTACCCCTTCTCCAAGCAAGTCTCAACTTGCTTCTCCAAATAATGGCTATGAGGGATGGGCTGGAGGCAGGACTAGTGGTCAGTTGTTGCTAGTGGTGATGAGGAAGGGGGGCCCTTTCTTCACAATGATTCCACTCCACAATGACGGCTGCTGGGGCCAGGCTAGAAGCAGGTTTGGTAGTTCGGGGGTTCCCAGACTCTTGGGTTTAGGGTCTCATGTTGTCTTCACTAACTAGGAAGAGTCAAGGGAGTGGTGGTGGTTTGAACCTGCCTGGTACATGCTGCTGCCTCCTCTCTCTCTCTCTCTGTCTCTCTCTGTCTCTGTCTCTGTCTCTGTGTCTATCTCTCTCTCTCTCAGAAGTGTTACAGCAAACTCATTTCCTACATGCTCACAAGACTCAGGAGAGGCAAGAGAGATATGTTAGAAAGAGTATAACATCTGCAAACAAAAGACCTGGCTTTGGTCTTAACTCTAACATTAACTAGCTGAGTGACTATGGGCCAGTCACTTAACACGTCTCAATGACAGTTTCTTCAGGAGCAAAGTGAGAATAATAACACCCTCACCACCAATTTCATCGGGCTGTCACAAGAAAAGCTTCAGAAACCTAAAAGTGCTATACAAACGTGTTATAAATATTTACACATACAATAATGCCATACAATATAAAAGTACTATACAACTGTGTTATTGATTGCATAGAGGTACACATACATATGTGTGAGTATAGTAACAAGACTTCCAATATGAGTACTGAGAGAGAATGCCAAAGCAACAAAAACACAGCTGAAGGTAAATAAAAAAAGAGGATATAAAGGACCTTCCTTTTCGAAGCCCTTATCAAGCAGTCAAACAATAACTAACCTGGATACAAATCCAATCAGTTTCAGAGGGCTGGGATGATGCTGGGGGCTCTGCAAATCCCTAATCCGCACAGATCCAGCCCTGCCAACGCCAACCACCACAACACCAAGCATTTCTTCTGGCTGCAAAAGAATACAAGGAGTTTGAAAAGAATCACAGGCATTCGAGCAAAAGCTGCAAATAATCAAACAAACGAAAAAGCAAAAATTTTTAAAAAGGCAAATATGAGATCATCAATTTAGAGCTAGAAGCTGGTCCAATCCTCTGATTTTCCCTGATTATGAAGAAACGAAGACCCGGGAGTCAAGCAACCTGCCCCAGTTCACAAAGGTAGCATTTGAACATGTGACCTCTGACTCCCGAGTCAATCCTACCATGCTGCTTTTAGCTAGGTCTCTGTAACAGAGACAGACAACAGGAAGAGCAATTGATGCAAGGTTATTATTGTCTCCCTGTCAACTGGAATCTCCAACACGGATGAAGACTCTTCGGAAAGTCACAGCCCAAGCACTAAAAGTTGATTTCCTCCTTTTCCTCTCTCCCCATTCCCCTGGAAAAAAGACTCGCCCCATAGTTCTGTGAGACAACGAGCCAGGGTACCCTCAAACAAAAGGATTCCCCAACTCACCCTCAGATAATTCCACTGAAGCCAAAGCACCAAAGGGTTTTACTTCTTGAGACTATGACCCCGGGAGCGTGGCCTGGCCCCTTCATCCTCTCCTGTACCCTTCTTCTAACATAAGCCGCTCAATCATAAACTGCCCAGGCAATCAACGACTACATGAATAAAACCTACTCTATCACAGTTTGGAGAATCTCAGAATACAAGATTACAAATAAGCTGATGATGATGATGACAATTATAGCACACCATAAGGCTTGCACTTCACCAGAATCATCTCATAGAACTCTTTTAAGCTCTCACATCCTCGCCTCTGTATTTAGCCTAATCACAGACTGCCACTAGGCAGGGGCTTAACACTTTAGTCTGACCTTGTCAATTCAAATTTGCTTTATCCCCACCTACATGGCCTAAACTTCTTTGTCCTGTTTCTAAGAGGTCATAAGATCACAATGATAGAGTGAGATGGGGGTCTCAGAAGCCATCTAGTTCAATTTCTTCATGCTATAAATAAGGAAACTGAGGCCCAATGAGGTTAAATGACTTGCCCAATGAAACTCAGATAATTAAGAGGCAGTGATTAGATTTGAACCCAGGTTCTCTTACTTCAGACCCAAAGTTCTTACCACATCCATGACTGACATGGACTTTATGACAGATTCAATGTTTGAGAAGAGAATTCACCTCTAAGATTTGGTTTAGTCATTTACATGTGTCGCCAGTAGGCAATGGTAGATGCCTTGGTCTCACTGGCTTGATCTTAACCATGAATTTTCCCTTGATGAGATACATTCTCCATCCCAGCAAATGAGTGAAAAGCTATTAACACATTTACAAACTATTATCTTTCTACTGAAGATGAAGATTTAGCTGTGTCTGGTCTCATAAGAGAAGCCATCTAGTTTCTCCCCTCTGGTAGAAAAAAACTGTGAGCCCTAATGAATCAATCAATCAATCACTAAGCCTTTATCAAGTGGTAATTATGCACTAGGCACTTTGTTAAGCTCAGAGGATATAAAGAAAAATAAAAACCATCTTTGTCCTTGAGGAGCTTACATCCTAATAGGCTTTCCATATTAGGTCTATACAGGCTCTAATCAAACTAGATGCGAGGTAACCTTGGAGAGGAAGGCATCAGGAGCTGGCAGCACCAGGAAACACCTCCTGAAGAACGTGGCACTTGAGCTGAGTGGACAGAAGCTGGAGGTTCTAAGAGGTAGATGTAAAGGGGGGGAGAGCATGCTGGGCATGGGGGACAGCCAAGACAAAGGCATGAATACAAAAGATGGACTGTCACGTATGAGACTGAACTATAGACGGAGAAACTGAGGTATAGCAAACCCTCCTACAGAAAAGTAGGTCTCTATGGGTTTACCGTGGCTAATTCTGGATAAACACTACAAAAGGGACAATGAACTTGGGGGGGGGAGTGTGGTGGGGTAAGGGGGAGAAAAAAGTCTGAATTTCCAGTTTCCTGAAGTGAATAAAAGTATGGGTTCATGCAAAATGAATGAAAGTATATTACCAACAGTATCCTCTCTTCCCCTGCCCCCCCAAAAAAATACTTTTAAAAATTCCTAATACTTAAGAGCTGGAAATCACAAAAAATGTGCTAGACCTGATGTTACATCCACTGGTGTTTTGGGTATATTTCAATGTACAGGATCATATAACAACAATAATAATAACAATAAGTGCTAGTTGTTAGTTATCAAGGAGATAGGAGATCCTGGTGGGAATTTTACTTAGCTGTGTGATTGTCAAGATTTTCCAAGAGCTTTACAAGTATTATCTCATTTTATCCTCATAACAGTCCTGGAAGAGAGGTTTTATTATTATCCCCAATTTACAAATGAGACAGCTGAGGCAGAATTGGTTAAGTGACTTGCTCAGGGTCACTCAACTAGCAAGTGACTGAGACCAGATTTGAACTCAGGTTTTCCTGACTCCAGATCCAGCACTCTATCTACTGTGCCACCCAGCTATATGATCACACTTTCATGGATCTCATTAATGGGGCCGTTCCCTCCAAATCACAACTCATCCATGTCTTCTCAAACTGGGAGACTCTTGTCCATGCCCTCCACAAGGGTGAAACACTCCACACACCTAAGAAGCCATAGCTTTTTACTATACATGGCTAGACAATCAGGAAATCTGGATACTTTTAGCTGTCCATTTCTAAGCTATCCAATGGACTGCCTTGAGTATAGCAGGCATGACTAAATGCCATCTCCTATTCATGTATAGGCTTATTCATTACAAAGCACTTCTATATTTCACTTGACTGTCAAAACTGTCCTGGGAGGTAGGTCAGGCCAATAGTTAGCTTTCCCGCAATCCATTTTAATAAAGGAGAAAACTAAGACTCAGAAAGATTAAGTAATTTATCACCAAGTGAAATTCCAACTGGGATCTCTTAGCTGCTTGATCACTCGAGTCCAGTGATTTTTGAGAAAAAATATCTTGCCAAAGAAGCATCTTGAACTCTAAGTGTTTAGCAATAGTTCTTCTGAAAGAGTCCACAGACACAAAATGTACTGATTTCTTATTTAGGAAATATACTTGACACGTATGACCTATATCAAATTGCTTGACATCACAGAGAAGGGCAAGGGAAGGGAGGGAGAGAATTTGAAACTCAAAATTTTCTAAGAATGAATGTTAAAATTGTTTTTACATGTAACTGGAAAAAATAAAGCATTATTTTAAAAAAATGCTTGGAAAGGAGAACAATTTATTCAATAACACCACCACCATAAAGACAAACAATTTTGAAAAACTCAAAACCTCTGATCAATGCAATGACCAACCAATATCCCAAAGAACTCATGATGAAGCATATTACCCATGTCTTGATAGAGAGGTTGTTGCTGTTGCATCAGGAAGGTGATGCCATGACGTGCATGTGAGTTGAATTTAAGTGAGGGAGGGTTATGCAAAGTCATCAACCTCACTTTCTCCTCTAGAGCCATCTGGGTCCAGTGGCAAGATATAGATCAGGACTGGAGATGGCCTTTTGACAGAGAGGAAGGAGATGGACTCTGGAGATAGACATATTTTTTTGGACATGATTCAGGAATTTTGTTTTGCTTGAATAAGTATATTTATTACAAGAGTTTTGTTGGTGTTGGTGGGTTTTTTCCCCTTCAAAAGGGGAAGAGGCAGTAGGAAAAAGAAAAAATTAGTTTTGGTTCATTTAAAAAATTAAATTTATTTCAAAAATATTTGCTTGGAACTCAGCTTTTCCTTTTCCTTTTTCATCCTTCTTCCATTCTCTTGAGGCTTTCCCCTTTTGAATCACAGATTTTAAAGCTAAAAGAGACCTCAGATGCCATTTGATCCAACTCCCTCATTTTTCAGATGAGACAACTGAGGCACAGGAAGGTTAAGTAACTTGCCCAAAGACCCTAAGGTAGCAAGGGTCAAAGGGGGTCAGTGTGTCAAAGGGTCAGTGTGCCTTCTTACTACAACACACTGCCTCCAATATCAGGTATAGCATTTCCTCTTTGACATAGCACAGGATTTCAGAATAACCATTTGAGTTTAGACGTTACTGTTTTAGTTTTTCAAAGGAAAAAAAAAGCTGGATTTAAAAAACAACAACAAACCTATCCATTGTTTTTATTTTTGAAACATCAGCCACTCTGAAGATTGGAAAGCAGAGAATTCAAAGGTTGGAGTAACTCTGCCCTCTGCTGGTCTCCTGACCATTTGCATTTCATATATTCTGAAAATAAAAAGTGGATGATGTCTTTGTTTCAGGATGGACATCTATTTCATGAACCTAATCCAGCCTGTGGCTACAGACGTGGTCAGAGAAATAGACAAATCCCAAACGCGTTACATAAGGCAAGTATCTTACTGCACTCCTACTTTTTCCCTCTTCCGTCAACTCCACTCTTCTCTCTTTGGAACTAAATGCTCATTTTTCTGACTACTCTGCTCTAGAGAATAACTATGTGGAGAGCTTTCGTTCGCTTCCAAAGAGGCCATGAAGACTCGGAAGTCCTCTGGCATGCCTATTTTGTAAACAAACGGAAATCTGTGACTTGGGCAAAGATCCGGGGCCGGGAGTCAGAAGGCTTGAAACTGAGTCCCAGCTCTGTGTCAGCAGCTGGGTGGACTTGGGCAACTCCTTTCTTGAGTTTCTCCGGGCCTCACTGTGAAACAGGCCTTAGAATACCTGCATTAGTTCCCTCGCAGCGTAACTGTGAGGGAAGTCCTTTGTAAATCGTGAAGCCTCATGGAATTACAGTAACACAAATGTGCTGCTGTTGTTAGTCTACTAGACTGAGAACCTCTAATTTTTAAACACTGGGTGGCTATGTGACTAAGTCACTTAACCTTCTCTGGGCTCGGTTTCTTCATATGAAAATGAGGAGATGGGACTCAATGGCTTCCATGGTCCACCTGTAAATCTACGACTTAAGAAATGGTTAGCAGACATTTGGAAAACGAAGTAGTGATCAATCACCAAGGACCGGCAAAGCTTCATTA